TAGCTGCTCTGGTCATTTTTCAAATAGTCTCATCTTGTTTCGTAATGGGCCTTACCCAGACATTTTCAGAAGTGTCATACTGTGGATGGAAAGTCTTTATGGCTTTTCTGGTTGACAAGGACTTTATGCTGATTTTGAACCCAATATCAAGGGCCCACGTTAGACTCTTCATGAGTCAGAGTTTGTTGCTTGGTGTGTTTGAATCCAATTGCAGGGATTAGGACAATATATGGATGACTTTTAGATGGGATGAAATGGGGCTGTATTTTACATGTTGGTATGACTATATATAATGTTATTGTTGTTGTTAGGTGCCATCGAGTCAGTTATGATACGACACTTGGCACAAGGAAGTTATACACTGCCTGGTCCCGTGCCATTCTTACCATTGTTACTTTGCCTGAGCCCATTGTTGCAGCCAGGTGTCGATTCATCTTGTCGAGGTCCTTCCTCTTCTCCACTGACCAAGCAGGATGTCCCACTCCAAGGACTGGTCTCTCCTGACAATATGTCCAATATGACAAAGTCTTGCCAACCCTTGCCTCTAAGGCAGTGGTTCTCAACCTTCCTAATGCCACGACCCTTTAATACAGTTCCTCATGTTGTGGTGAGCTCCCAACCATAAAACTATTTTCGTTGCTACTTCATAACTGTAATTATGCTACTGGTATGAATCGGGAGACCCTTGTGAAAGGGTCATTTGACCCCCAATGGGGTCGCGACTCACAGGTTCAGAACCACTGCTCTAAGGAGTACTCTGGCTTTCTTTTAAGACAGATTGTTTGTCCTTTTAGCAGTCCCTGGTACTTTCAGTAGTCTTCTCCAGCACAACTCAAATGCCTCCATCTTTCTTCGGTCTTTCTTAGCCAATGTGCAATTTTCACATGCGTATGAGGCAATGGAAAATACCATGGCTTGGGTCAGGCCCACCTTAGTCCTCAAAGTAACATCCTTGCTTTTCAATACTCTGAAGAGGTCTTGTGCAGCAGGTTTATCTAATGCAATATGTCTTTTGATCTCTTGACGGTGGCTTCCGTAAGCATTGATTGTGGATCCAAGCAAGATAAAAATCCTTGACAATTTCAACCTTTTCTCCATTTCTCATGATGTTATCTGTTGGTCCAATTGACAGGATTTTCATCTTCTTTGAGTTATAATTCACACTGAAGGCTGCAATCCTTGATCTTTAGCAGCAAGTGGTACAAGTCCTCCTCACCTTCAGCAAGCAAGGTTGTACCACCTGCATATCGCAGGTTGTAAATAAGCCTCCTCTAATCCTGATGTCATATTGTTCCTCATGTAAACCAGCTTCTCTGGTGATCTGCTTAGCCCGTCTGGTTGAGAAGATACAGTCCTGACACACACCTTTCATCACTTTAAACCAGGCAGTATTCCCTTATTCTGTTTATACAAGTCCCACATGTCCACAATGAAGCATCCAAGTATTCCCATTAATCTCTAAGTTATCCATAGCTTATTATGGTCCACACAGTTGAATGCCTTTGCATAGTCAATGAAACACAAGTAAACATCTTTCTGGTATTCTCTGCTTTGAGCCAAGATTTATCTGACATCCGCAATGATGTGCCTTGTTTTATCAATGTTATAGATAAAATATGTAAAAGTATGTAGTTCATGCATGCTTTTGGTAGCTTAGTTACTTTATAAACATAAAAATAATGTGCCTAACATCTATAGAAAATGTATTTAAGATACTCCTATTAATAAAATGGCCATTTTTAAGACCTGAAATTGAGTTTCTACGTTGAGTTATATAAAGAAAGTAGATAAATTACCCGAAGCCAAAGAAATCAAACCTCCTTTGAAATTTGCATGATTTGGTGTTGTAGAACAACCAGGGAAACATCCTCTTGTACTCTGATTCCCAAGAAAGCAAACATCTAGCATTTGGGCTAACTAAATACAGTTGTGAACAAAATCAATGGTTGCTAAGTCATTAAGGTATTGCGAAAGAATTTAGTAATAAATGTTGGTCCAGGAACATTTTCAGGCAACATGCTGTCTGCAGACCGGTAAGGGAGGGGGCAGGGGAGACTGACTCCCCTAATGCTGTTGGGCCCATCGGCGGCTCTGGGTACATGATAAATGCGTGTGGGCGACAAGTGATAGAGGCTGTGATGACTCACATGGGCAGCAACGATGAAAACATACTGTGTTGCCTGAGTTGACATTTCTGAGATAGGTTGGGGGTGTGTCTTGCAGCTGAGTCTGACACGTGTGGGATTAGAAGAAGGAAAACTGGCATTTCTAGGGAGGCACGCAGAAAAACATCTTCTAGAGAAAGAGGCCCCTCACTGAGGAAGTCGGAGTGCAGAGGGTGAGAAGGGGCAAAGGGATTTCTGGCCAAGAGCTGAGGACCCTCGAGGAAACCGCCCGCAATCAGGGACTGCACACCAGCTACCCTGGGGGCGGCTGGGGGATTCCTCTCGGGAGGGCAAAGCCGGAAGCAGTGGGGGTGCTTCCTCCCATAAGGCCTCATCGCGGCACTTTTCCTGTCATTGGGACAACAATGCCAACGTGGACAAGGTTGAGAGGCTGGAACACATCCATGAAGATGCTGTGGCGTGCTTGTGCTGTGTGGGACCAGGCGCAGCCGTGAGAGAGCCCAGATCTTAGGCTGTCAAGGGCTAGGCCTGGTCCCTGAAGTGGGCTGCTTCCTGCGGGCCCCATCCGTCTTGCTTGGAGAGAAGGGTGTGCATGCAAAGAACCCCTCAGACACCACCCAGCTCCCCCACTCGACAATGGATGAGACCACCAAGGCGGAAGAGGCTATTGCCATATTTACACACACACACAAACATGTGTGTTCTAGTTTTGTGTGTGAGCCCCACGCCCTGCCCTGCAGTGTGCTAGCTTCCACGTGGGGAGGGGCAGGCGAGAGGATGCAGGGGTCGCACGGGGCCCCAGGGGAGTCTGACGAAACTCAGGTTCCCCCGCATCCAGAGACATTTCCTCAAGGCATCCTGGGGCTTCGCATCCCGCGCGCATCCCGCGCGCGCGTTTGCTTTCTAAGCCCTCTTGCCACGTGGTCTCGTTTCCCTAATTTACGACTCTGTGGACTGGCGACGGAATTATAGCTATTTGTTCCCCTTCCCCGGTTGCCCGCTAACGAAAACCCGGCTTCATTAATTCAAGTGCTTATCTCGGAACAACGTGTTAACAAGCTCTTCGGTGGCGCTCTAGCCATTTCGCTTTTCTGAGAAGGTGAAAGGCCCTCCAGTCCATCTGGTGGGATCCTCGCGCATTTCCCTTTCAAACGCTGGGCTGACAGACCCGTGAAGAGCAAATGGGGTGTTAGCTAATATCTCATTAGGCCTCAGCAAGTCACAGCCCATTTAACGGTGGCAGGCACCAGTCTTGGCCGCCGCCTCCACCGGCAGACGTTGAGGACGTCAATTTACAGTCCTTTTCTCCCAGCCGTGTGGCCCTGTCTCCCGCGTTTCTGTCATCGTCTCAGGTGAACGAATTCCTAATCTCTCCCTTCCCGGGGCCTCAGGTGACACAGACGTGGGAAGACTACGGAAGTGGCTGTCCTTATGATTCTTCTGACAGCACCCACTGCATTTGAGAACAGCCACCCCGGCCGTTGGAAGACTTGGGAGAGCTTTGTCTTTTAGTTTGGGGTTGGTGACATGCCAGGCCTGGTAAGCTGCAGATTCGCTGAACACCTATGCCCTTGTTTCTTCAGACTGGGCTATGGGTACTTAAGTGTTGGGCTGTTAACCCAGGGTTAGCGGTTCAAACCCACAAGCAGCTCTGCGGGAGAAAGAGGAGGCTGTCAGCTCCATCAAACCTTACAGCCTTGGGAGCCCACTGGATGGGAAAGGATTCTGTCGGTTTGTTGCTGGTAAGGAGCCGTAGTGATACAGCAGTTAACTGCTCAGCTGTTGACTGAAAGTTGTGCAGTTCAAAACCACCAGCCTCTTTAAAGGGGCAATGATGTGGGAGTCTGCTTCTGTAAAGATTTGTAGCCACGGAAACCCTACAGGCTCACTGAGATGGAAATCCCTGGACGGCAGTGGGTTTGGTTTCATGGCTATGAAATCCTACCTACAGTATCCCACACAGACATTTGCATGCAGAATGTTCCTGGCTGGCATGTGAAACACTCCTCTTCAGAGGAGTCTCCTTGAGGTTACTTTTAGCTCAGGGCAAGAACAGCGTCAATGGGCCCAGGGACACCATGGTTAAGTGTTTGGTTGTTAAAAGGGTGGCAGTTCGAATCCACCCAACTGCTCCAAGAGAAAAGACCTAGTGATCTTCTCCCACAGAGATTACAGCCTAGAAAACTCTATGGGCCCAAATAAGAAAAGGCAGTTCTATTCTGTCACAGTGTGTCACTAAGAGTTGGAAAGGGAGTCCACAGCACCTAACAAGCAAGAGTGCCTAGAATCAAAGGCCATGCGGAAGTACTGTGAAATCCATCCCACAATGACCTGTGATGAACCAGGAGCTAATAAGGACTAGAGTGAAAATCCCAAGGTGAGATGACAAAGCACTGTTTGAAGTTAGAAACTCAAGAACAAGCTTATTTTCAGAGTATCTGGCTAAAAAGTGACCAAAGCACCATGGGTCTCCTGAGGTAAATGCCTTAACAAGAATTTCATAAAGAAATTTGAGAAAGCAGAGTAGTTAGTAATCGAATCAAATGTAGGAAAGCCCTAACCTAACGACAGACGGGTGAGATGACAAAAGACACTCTGTCGGTGTGGGAAGTGTAGAATAGATCACTGAGCTCTAGAGAGCTCTCGTGGCACACTGGTTTAACTGATGGCCTGCTAATCCAAAGGTCAGCAGTTCAAACCCATCAGCCGCCCTGCAGAGGTAAGAAGAGGCTAGCTGCTATGGTAATGATTCACAGCCTCAGAAACTCACAGTAGTAGTTTTGCTGTTTCCTCAAGGTCACGCTGAGTCAGAATTGACTCGATGGCTGTGGATTAAGTTATACAACTCCTTAGACTACCATGGAGGCCAGAGAACATCATTAAGGTAATTTTTATTAAAAAAAATGATAGGGGGGTACAGAAAGAACAAAATTATTTCTCATAAAATGAACAAGTTTACATTTGTATGTTTTGTGTATTTGGGACCCAATGAGGGGCAAAGAGCAAGGTTGCAGGGCAGAGGTTTCCATGAGCAGAGCACAAAGCTAATCTCCAAGGCGGCATCAGTGCAGGCGGAGAGCACCTGGGCCTCCCTCTAGCCCCGCCACCCACCAGCAAGCACTTCAGGTAAAGTAAGTTATCAGTAGGAGCTTTTTAGGGGTGTTCAGACCCAATCTTCTCCGGCCTACGCGACACTTTTACATGAATACTTGATAGGCAGCAGTAGATAAACAGTTCATAAAATTAAGTACTATTGCCCACAGAATGTTAATGTAAACTGAGTTTAGTTCATGCTGGTTTAACTAGAATGGTTACGCTGAGCCTAATGAGGGGAAAAGGGGCTGAGTGATGGTTTAATTGCTTTATTCAACGACAGTCACAAAACAGCAGGTCTGGTGGAAAGAACCATATACTTCTTTTAAAAATTATTTGTGAAAGGGCTTTGTGGAGGAAGTCAGAGAAAGGTTACATAGAAACAGCCTGGGTTTCACATAGGGGGCAATTCTGCACATTGCCCTAGAATTCAGCTTGTGTTATATAATGGGAGAGGAGGTGTTGGGGGGGGTAGTACTGTTCGACTTTAGGTCTCATAGAGGGTGGGAGACATTTCAAAATGTTGACCCATGTTCACAGAAATATGAGAATCACAACCCCAACTTAGGAAGGAGCCACACCCCAGGCCTCTTCAACCCTTTCCTCATGGTGCGTCTGGGGAACAGTGCTTTTCACCGTGAAGTGTCGCCTGAGAAAGGTCACCTGTTCTTTGAGGAACAGAAACTCAAACTCACCAGTTGAATGATCACGTGTGTGTCTGCCCTGTGGCCGGCCTGTAAGAGGGGCATCCACGGTGCACAACCAGCTTCAACTTCATACCAAACAGACATGGTGAGCCGCGGAGCCACAGGGAGAAGTTTGAAATCATTTATTCTTTACGTCATGGGAGACAGAGGGTGCCAAGCCACCCAAACAATGCACGGATGTTTTGCTTCTTAGCCCACCGGGTGTCACAAAAGGACAGAAAAAAGACTGACCGTTATTGTTTCGAAAAGGGCAATGAGCTCTTCATCCCCTACCTAGGCCTTGGGCTGAACAACAAGGTGCTGCTCCCTGCTCCTCTCCTGTCACACAGACAAGCTGCTTCTCCGAGCAGTCCAGTGTGTGCACGTATGTGGGGATGGGGATGGGGGAAATCGAGCTTCGCGATTAAGAATCCAGTCAATAGATGCAATGAGTAAATCCAAGAGAGCGGGCAGTGAAATAACAATAGCTTCAGTTTAAACACAGAATGGATTCCTAACCCGTTAGGTGGGAGCGCTATGTCTCAGTCGGCAGTAAACCATCCGCACAGGTGAGGTAAGGCGGCCTGGCTGCACTGGGGCTAACGCCAGCCGGGGGAAAGGCAGCTCCCGGCCATCAGCACGGCTCGCCCAAGCGCTGGCTGCGCGTGCGGGCTTACCACGGCCCCTCGGAGTTCCCTTTGTGCTCATTAGCATTTCCCTTTTCGTTTCCCGGGTACTGAATCAGGGGTACATTTTTAATAATAATTAATGATGGCTAATAAATATGACAGACGAGTTTCTTAGCACAAAAAAACCCCCGATACATATATGATGACGATTTTTCTTTTTCAGTCAGATGCGTTACTCAGGAAAGCGCCCTGACGCGCCGCAGTGGTGAAAGGCGCATTGGGCCACCCGAAGCACCTCCAGCTGCAGGACATGGAGGCAGTCTGGCTTCCACAAAGGTGTACAGCCTGGGAGGCCCACGGGCAGTTTGCTGTGTCCTATAGGGTCGCTGTGAGTCGGTGTTGACTTGCCAGCAGTGCGTTGGGTTTGGGGTGTTCATGGGGTTCCAAATCAGCAGAGGATCTGACATAAGGCCTGGCGCTGCGGCGGTGCTTCGGCCGACCTCCGCTGGCTTTGCAGCCGGAAGCGGACAGATTTCCCCCAGCGCGTGCTTGGTGAACGAGGCAGGATCTCGCCTGGCTGGGCGATGGCGGGTAAGAATGAAGAGAAACGCAGACGGGCAGAGAATTCACTGTGTGCTCCTGGGGGAGCGGGCGGGGCTCCCGCACCCCACACCCCACACAGCAGTGCCGGGACGGAGAGAGTGGGGCCGCAACAGGCGAGGAAAGGCGCCCCCGGTGCCCACCACTGGGCGAGAGGCTGCATCTCCATGCCACGTGGGAGTGAATGTGTTCAGTGCAAATAAAAGTCTCCAGATACTGGGGTGCTGGGTGCTGGGGGAACCCAAAGGGTCTGGATAGCACAGCAAAGGCTCATTTTTTCCAAAGGAGAATTTTTTTTCTTTTCTTTTTAATGCCTATGTACCTGCACAAGTCACCGGTTGAAACAGTTCTGTGGGTCGGTGGGGTATTTTAAGGTGTTTCCCATTTACATTCATAAAAAAGTGGTCAGCTGTTAAGAGTCCCTGCTTCACATTGACTGCACGCTGCCAGCTCCCAGGATGTGGCCCCTTCCTCTGGCTGGACACAATGCGCTCTGCGCTCTGCGTCCTGCAGGCTGGGTGAGGAGCCAGGAGTTCACCCTCACATGCCCAGGCCGGCCTTTTTTGAAGTCCGGTTGCCAGAGCTGGGTGAGTTCGGGTTCGTGTGCCTGCTTGCAGCGCAGTGGGTGTGGACAAGGCCACCATTTGGATATCTAACAAACACAGGCTCACAAAAGGGATTTTGGCACATCTGGCAAAGCTTTTTGTCCGAGAGCCGAACGGAGCTTCCTTTTACCTTCATCTGCAAGAGACCAAGAATTCCGTCACACAGAGTAACAACAAGGAGCTATTTTCCCCGAGCAGAGAGGCCTCCTCCACAGATTACTGCTACTGTCAAGGACCGTTTTAATGTCAACTTCTTGAAACAGACTATAAAACGTATGAGGAGCTGAAAATAAAAATCCTCTTTAGTACCCTACCCAATCCAAACCTGTGACCTTTGAATGCATTCTAATCCACGGTGACCTTACAGGACAGAGTAGAACTGTCCGGTAAGGTGTGTAAGGCTGTTAACTAGTAAAAGAAGAACACTGTCTCAATTTTCTCCCACAAAGCAGCTGGTGGATTGCAACCACCAACCTTCAGTCAGCAGCTGAGTGCTACTAGGGCTCTCCTTCTTAGAACCTTAACAAAAAAAACTCCCTGCCTGGAACCAATCCTCACTCATAGTGACCCTCCAGCACAAAGTAGAACTGCCCCTTGGGTTTCCAAGGCTTGGCTCCTGCAGAGTGGCTGATGGGATCAATGGCTGGGCTTGTACCTGCAGAGTGGCTGATGGGATCAATGGCTGGGCTTGTACCTGCAGAGTGGCTGACGGGATCGATGGCTGGGCTTGAGGTTAGCAAGCCGTCCAACGTGTTATCCACTAGGCCAGCAGGGCTTCTTAGTAATTAGAGGAGTACGAAAGCTACAAAACTGCTTTCTTATTTCACAAAGTACTGGCTGCTTGCCTGGCCAAGGCAGATAGTGTTTACGTTTCTATCCAAGATGCTCTTCTCAGTCCTCTGCGCTGTCATTTTTAAGGAAGGACTGTAGTAAATTCATAGACTATGAGAGATGAATGGCACCATAGAAGTCATCTAACTCCCTCAGCCTCTTATTTGCAAATAAGATGACTGAGATATGAGATATGAGACACAGACATGAGACTCCTACAGCTTGTTAGTGGCATGTTCCTGGTTGCTCTTGGTGACATGACTTCCTTGCTGCAAAGGTGATAAAAGGGAGATGTGAAGCCAACAGCTCCAGCTGAAAAATGGGACTTGAGTTTTTACAAGTTAAAAAGTCCCAGTGGACAAATGACAGGTATAAACCCAGATACGTCCATCTATTTGTAGAACTGAGTAGCAACTTTGTGAATTCATCATGCATTCAATAGTTCCTGCAGACATTCAACCCACATTGATTAAATGCCTGCCAAATGCTAGACTCGGTCCTAAAAGTACAGAGATGAATAAATGAAGTTCCTTGTGCCGAAGAAATCAGAAGTCTGGTAGGAGAGGGAGACAAACATGGATGCAGGCAACGTGCCCGTGAAGTGGAGAGTAATATGTCCCAGCTCCAGCTTTGGCGTGGGTCACTCGCTAGTTGCGTGGCGTGCGGGTCTCACAAGAAAGAAGTCTCCAGAAGCAAAGGAGAGTGTAGAGACTAAGAGCGGGCGGCTCTGAGTTGCGCAGGAATTCCTATCTGGCTGCCTCCATTTACTAACACCTGTGAGACTTCTCTTGGAGCCTTGGGGGTGTGGCGGCTACGAGTTGGGCTGCAATCCGTCTGGTTGGCAGTTCGAAACCACCAGCAGCTCCAAGGGAGAAAGATGGGATTTTGCACTCCTGTAAACAGTTACCATTTCAGAACCACGCAGGGGGTCACTATGAGTCACCACTGACTTGATGGCAGTGAGTTTGGTTTTCAGTGAGATATCTCTGTGCTTGAGTTTCCTTTTGTGTGAAATGCAGACAGGGAAAGTAGATAGCACAGAAAGCCCTGTGTTGATGAAATTATAGCAAGCATGTAAAGCCCCTGGAATAGCAGCTGCATACCTCCTATGTGTGCAGTGTGTGTCAGCTGTTACTGTGACACTGTCTGTCCCTTGAAGGAGCCCTGGTGGTATGATGGTTAAACACTCAACTACTGACCGAAAGGTTGGCAGTTCAAACCCATCAGCTGCTTCTGTAAAGACTGCAGCCTAGGGGTTGCTGTGGAGCAGTTTCACCCTCTCCTACAGGGTCATTACGAGGCAGTGTCAACTTGAAAGAACACAACATCCTCCCTCCCTTAGCCTTCTTCACACCTCTTTCTGGATTGTCAGGGTCTGAAAGGGGAGAGATGAATACCTACCAGCTCAGCTTGTGACCCTACCCATACATACCTCGGCTTTTCTAGAGTAGAATCCTATATTTGAATGATTGGTGGTGTCATGGTTATGTGTTCGAAATCACCAGTCCCTCTGTGGGGTAAACATGGGGTTTTCCACTCCTGTGGAAAGTTAGTCTCTAAAGCCCACAGGTGAAGTTCCACCATGACCTACAGGGTCACGATGAGTCAGAGTCAACTCGGTGGCAGTGAGTGAGAAAGGCACAGAGGGGGGAAAGAAATGACGTACATTTTTCCACAAGTAAAGTCTACACTTCAAAAAATGTCAGCTGGCCAGGGATGCTAAATTGCCCAAGGGGCCACGCACCCACCTTATCACATTTGTAGATTAAGTTTTCAGACTTGGCCAAGCCTGCAGCCACTTGAGTCATCCTCTTGGTGTGGAAGCTCTGCCTCATGGCTCCCATCAGGAATGGGCAGAGGAGCTGCACGGACCAGGTGTCGGGCAGCAGCTGCAAAACCTGGGCCGCATCAAATTCTGTGGCATGGTGATTCAGGAGGTCCACGGCTGCCACGACCAGCCCGCAGTCGGCAGGGCCGGCGCGGAGGTAAATGGAGAGCAGCGTGTGGAAGAGGCGCTGCCGGTAGGGGTGGTCCCTGCCCTCGGAGCTCCACAGGCAGTAGTCCTCAGCCGCAGAGAAGTCCTTCAGCTCGTGGACCAGGATGTGCAGGGCCTTCTGGTGCTCCTCCAGCTTCCCATGCAGGATGGCGCTCTCCATGTGCAGGCCTGTGCCCTGGATTTTCTCTGTCAAGCAGAAGCTGCAGGTTAGAGATGGGCAGGCCAGTCTGGCGCAGCTTGCCTTTGGGCCTCCCTTCTCTTTGGAGAAGGCGAAGCACATCTGGTCCCCTAGATGTTGCTAAACACTGCCACCTAGATGACTAAGACGAGACTTTCTTCTGAGCTGTTCCAAGTCTGAAGCCAGGGCTTCGTCAGAGAGTACAAGACTAGTGAAAGGATTGAGCCTGCGCTCTGAATGAACATTTGCTCTGGTGTCTAGATGTGTTAAACAAAGACTCCTCATCTCAGAAGGCCCCAGGGACCTGGCAAACACAGCAGCTCCAGGCTTCGATTCATCCATCGTTATTCTTATTTCCCAAGAAAGGGTTCCTTTTCTGCCGAGAGGAGCTGCTGCCAGCTCCACCTCCATCTGGACAAGCACCGCTCCCTTCCCAAAAGCGGTCAGAACCCCGTCTGACCAATTTCATTCCTATTTAAAATACATTTTATTGGGAGGAAGATGGACATGTATATATATGTATATATCATATATACTCATGTATAAGCCGAATTTTTCAGCACATTTTTAATGTAGTTTTTGTGGTAAAATTGGGTGCCTTGGCTGATATTTGGGTTGGCTTATACTCAAGTATATATATACTGTATACATATATATTAAACCCATACCTATATGACTTAAGGGTTTTGTTTCTCCGGTCTTTTAAGTTCCCAGGTGATCGGGGAAAGACTCCCTCCAAAGGCAGCTTCAGTTCTGCCACAGGCCCTGCCTGAGCGGCTGTTTCTGGTTGTCCAGGCTCTTTGCTTCCCATCACAAAGGCAACATAGAGGGATGGGATGTAAGAGTTCTTCCTACGGCAAAGGAGTAGTCTACGGATGATGGTATTCAAGGGCCAAATTTAATACTCCAATGACAGGCACTTTGCACTTGAGCTCAGCCACAGCAAGACCCCCCAGCTGCCCTCCAGTCCTGGTAATTGAACCAGATGCGCACAGTCTCTAGTAAAGGGGTCTACAACGTACTAACTATAGCTCTGGGCAGGAGAGCCACGCGCCCCCTGGTCATCTCCATGATGAAACGCCAACAGACAATTACCAAGTCGCTACCGTGTTGAGGGCACAGGAAGAAGGGCAAAGACAGCGAGGAAAAGCAAAGTAATGAACACTTACGTGGTGACTCCCATCCATCATCCTTATGCCTGTGCGTCTCAGTGCAAGCAGACGGGACAGTCATTGTTACAACTTCCCCAGGCTGACAGATTCCCAAGCCACCTCGCCGGCAAGCATGGGCCAGGGGCTGTTCTTTAGTTTCTAGTGCTCTTTTCTGGGTGCCTCTGAGGGCATCCCTGTTCTCTACGCGCTCCCTGGCTTTTATCTGGAAACTCAGGCGGACACTTTACGACTGTGCAAACGTGACCTCCTCTAGGAGGCTGACCCTGTTCTCTCCACGCTGCGGCACGGTTCATTGCTCAGTCTGGAACATCTACCAGCCTTTATCGGCATGCCCATTCAATGGGACTCTTGAGGCCCAGAACCAAATCTCTTTCATCTTCATATCCATGATGGACAGTGCCTGATGCTCAAAAAGGCTGAGTGAATGAAAACACTGATCGGCAAACTCATTTCTAGCATGCTTTTTTAAAAGGGTAAACTACATAGCCACCTGGTCCACTGCGCGTAGTCAACTCTGACTTACAGCAGCCCTATCCAGGAGTTCTGAAGCTGTAAATCTTTATGGGGACAGCTAGTCTCATCTTTCTCCCACAGAAGGGTCGGTGGCTTTGAACTGCTGACCTTGAGGTTAACAGTCCAACACTGACCTGGCAGTGCCACCAGGGCTCTTAAGTAGGCTATAAACCAGGGATGATCTTAAACAAGACTTAGCAATCAGTGCACTGTGGACAGTGACCTATCAGAACGAACACTGGCTAAGAGTGAGCAGTGTGGCTGCACAGATGCAGGGCAGCTGGGGAGGAAATGCTGTTCACCTGACATACTCAGACCCATGTGCATGTCCTGGCTCTCCTACTGAGTGACCCGGGGTGAATGGGCCCCCTCGCTAAGCTCCAGTTTACTCTCCTGTAAAACTGGGGGCAACCACAGGGCTTACCCTTCACATGGTTTATATGAAAACTAAGTATCACAATACACATTGAGCAAGTGGAAATATGCCTGGTATATAGTTAGCAGCCCAGTAATCATAATAACAGTGATAACCTGTGTTAAAGCAAAACACGTGGATGCCGGCCCCTTCCCCCAGAAGAATCTATTTCAAAGGATGGCACTGAATATGCAGCTCCGGGAGAGGGACATGTCTGATCAGAGCACACGGGAACAGATGAAGGGGGAGGAGGAGAGAATGGAGCACATCCTGGCCCACCAGGCTTTGAGGATGATGATCCCAACTAGAGCAGCCAGTCCACAGAGAGGACCACATGGCCAGTCCCACTATGAGACATGACGCCCCTCATTGACAGCACCAGAGACACAGTGTGGGTACTGCACCTGATCTGATCCTGCCACACCAGGCAAAGCACTGAGGGGGTGCAACGGAACAGTAAGGGAATGGAGTGGCGAGGTCCCCAGGGAAGGCTGAAGGTGGACTTTGGGGCCAGGGCATGGTGCCCCAGCAGACTGGACTGGAGAGCACTCCTAGGGGCTAACAAACGATCCTTGAACTAACTATAAGCTTTTCTTTCTTGTGTTCTATTTTGTTTTTTTTTGTCAGTGGTTTGTTGTATATTGTTGCTTGGTTCTGCTCTGTCTTGTTTTTGTGCATGTTGTTATCTCCGCAAGTCTGTCTAGGTAGGATAGGCTAGATGAACAATCTGGAGGAGAAAACAATGGGACCGACAGTTCCAGGGGGACATGGGAGAGGGGGAAGTGGAGGGAAAGGAAGTGGTGTTAACAAACCCAGGGACAAGGGAACAACAAGTGAAACAGATTGGTGGTGAGGTGGGTATGGGAGGCCTGGTAGGGCATGATCAAGGGTAATGTAACCAAGAGGAATTTTTGAAACCCTGGTGGGGACTGAGCATGATAGTG